TATGGATAAGTATATTTTAGTTTGTTTTCCTATTCATAAGATTCTATCTCTTTAAGATGTTGAGATTTGATTTATTTTTTACTAATATTGGACATAATCTATAGAAGAAGAATCAACTTTATTCCGGGACAAAGTTGAGAATAACAATTTTGTACATAAAAATTAACATACCATATGGCCAAAATACATATTACAATAAAAAAAACAAACTAAAAACTAAGTAATAACGGAAGTATTTACAGAACTATACAGATATATTAACGAAATAATATGGTCACAATACTGCAAATTAGTTGCTACAACAATGAACTATGGAATACTAAATGAAATTTGAAATGAACGATAAATTACTTGTGTTGTCATACCATTGAATTAATGAAAAAAATAATAATAAAAGAGCAGATAAATATTTACTATAAATGATTCACATCTGTACCTTAATGTGTTCAAATAAATACAATAATAGTATAGTATATACAATGATACATCGAGAAATATGTATGTACATAAAATATGTGTATGTGTATGTATATATATTCTGTTTCTTTTACTCTCAATCTATGTCTTCATATTTACAGTACAGCAGTTTTCTATCTTTTTACAATACCATTATGAATCTTCATTTAATCATTTTTACTTCAGTTAATGTTTTTTTTTTTTACTTTCCTACCTATACTAGGTAAGGAAAGTATTGCAATCAGGTCAAATTTCCGATATGCGGTTTTCGACGGATCTATAAGTTTCAGAGTCCGAAAAACACATTTTTAGCAATTGGTCTGTCTGTCTGTCTGCGTCAACATTTTCTCGGGAACTACTGAACCGATTTTGTTGCTTCTTTTTTTATTTTGTAAGATTTTGACTACTGATGCCTGTGAGAGAAATTCTGTGTTCCATGCGCAATAGCTTGCGCGCAATAAATGAAAAACACGTTTTTCTATATACGGTAGCGCAAAAACGGCTCTAACGATTTTGATGAAACTTTCCTATAATGTTCTAATAATTTTCCTTTATATTTTCGTATATGAACTAAATTCCTGAGAAAATTCCCGATAGTCATTGTTAAAACCATATAAAGCGGACTTTATGTAATGGAAGAGATTATATTTATTCTTGATTCTGAAATAATTTGTATGAAAATAAGTATTTTCAAATTGATTTTTTATGTAATTAAAAAGTGTATTTAGGTAATTTTATTTATGACAATACATCCCAGACCATGGAAAAACAAGAAATAAAAGCTTTGTAACAATTAAATTTTGTCATTTTTACTGAAGACAAACATACTTAAAAATCACATAATTTTTTTACAAATCTTAATGTGAATCTAAAGTGTTTTTTTTTTTTTTTCATTTTTCTCGATAAAACTCAACTTAATTAATACTCAACTTGTTTTAAAAACAAGAAATAGCTTATTTTAGCCGCTCAAAAGTCCTTTTTAAATGGTTGTAATAAAGATAAACTCCATTTTCATTTGAAATAATTTTTCTCTAGTTTACAGTAAACCTGTTGTTAATTACTTAAATTAAATATTTCTTTAGATATCGCTTCCTATGCAATAAAAAACACAACTTACTTAAAAAAACACAAAACTTGGATTTCCTACTTTTCTGCTGAAATTGGGCCTATTGTTTATGCGAAGTTTATTGTAGCTATTGAGGTCTGCTTTCACTCCTATAAAAAATGTTCTTCTACTTAAGGGAGTGAATTCCCTTCTACTTATTTACGGTATATTGAACTGTTTATATGAGATGTTCCACCTCCGGTTCAGTTCTATACGATCATGAGTTTTCAATTATAATTTTGTTTTTATTTTTATTTAATCAATGGCTTACATTATCAAGCAGTTGGTGCAACAATTGTTCGCATAATCCATAGGAATGTTAAAAATTTTATTTTCCTATGACGATTTGTATATTATCAAAAAGTAATTTTATTGTTGGAACGTATTCTATAAATATATTATATGTAATAATATTGTTATAAAGAAGTAATAAGTAGTACCCCTTCCCCTCCCCTCAAGGATACTGACTACCGTTTGTTGACTTAGACTAGCGGGGTTGCTATTAACAGCATTTCGACATGACGAGTGTTTACCGAAGGGCAGAGGGGAGAGTAGAGCGCTGTGGTCCTAAGGGCAGGCGTATTGTCGGATCGGAATGGTTTTCATTAACGGCCCTAGTCACCAGCTGCCTGCCCCACCATCCTAACACGTTCACAGCTTGCGAGTCAATGCTGGCTTATATTTATATCCTACTCTAAAAAGAAAAGAAAATTAAAAAAAAAGTAACAATTACATTACATAACCACTCCAAGTATAAATAACATTTTAATTTTTTCTGTATACTTCTGCATTCATTATTATACAATATATCGATATGAAGTGTGAATGGGCAATCTCGTAAACTCAGCGCTAATTCCATCAATGTACGTCACTATTTTATTAAAAGCCAACGTTTCGACCCGACTTTGCAGGTCTTCTTCAGGGAGGTGTGTTCAGTTAGGCGTTTCACTTACAGCTGAAACTGCTTTGAGTTCTAAGAGAAACTCCTAGCTGAACACACCTCCGTGAAGAAGACCTGCTCATTTGGGTCGAAACGTTAGCTTTTAATAAAATAGTTTTGCCACTATTTAGCCTACTTCATGACCCCCTCCTCGGACTATCTCCTTCCTTTGTAATGCAACAGTCAACTATGAAATATTTAAGTTATTTTTTGGTTTATTATTTTTAATAATGAAACATTGTGATCGACCAAAAAATTCAAAAGCATAACTCCCTCTCAAAATTTGAGGTTTCACGTTTCAAGACGCGTAGAATTCGAAAAACGAATAAAAATTTTTTTGTCCGTCCGCCGTCCGCGCATTTTCTCCGAAACTACTTTACCAATTTTTTTTTCAAATTTTGATATAAAATCAGAGGTCACCCGAGGATGACTTTCAAAATGGCGGTCGAAAAACCTGCGTTACTATAGACTGTAGCTCCTAAACGAATGTACCGATTTCAAAATGAAACTTCGCTAAAGTCATTTTCTCGACGCCCTTTAAATTTATCTCTATAACTTACTTCAACGAAAAGAAGCTGGAAAAAAGTTACGAGGGATGGTAAAATTAAATTCCGAATAACTCGAAAAGTTTTTATTTTTTTGTTGATATTGTATATAGTTTTTTAATTGTATAAGTTTACGAAATTTCCTAAAAAAAAAATCGTTAAAATCGGACAATTAGGAGGAAAGATATGGTCTCCGGTTTTTTTTTAATGTGTTACTGAACTAATACTATTTTTTAGCATATTACTAATGATTAAAGAAAAACAGTTTAGTTCAATTGAAATCATCTCTTTTTTTTTCTTTGTAACTCGGAAGGTAATGTTACTTTAGATGTATAGTTGTTTGGAGATAATAAACCATTGAGAAATAATTTGCAGCGTTTTTTTTTTATTGTATATAATTTTTTATTATTATTTTGGTTTTGTTTATTGTATGTTTTCTGTATATATGGTGTGAATGTGTTCATATCTTACTATAATTATTATCATTGTGGCAGATTAATGTATTTCTGAATAAATAAATAAATAAAACATTCTTAGAATTTATTTATTATCAGATAAAAAAAAATATTTTGTTTTCATATCTTTTTATAACCGATTTGTTATATTTTTTTTTTAACTTTTATTATATACTGAGTTTTCAATGCTAAAGGTTCCAGGTTCGAACCCCGGCTCATGGTAGAAAATTTATTTATCTGTTTCATTGGCCATGGGGCGACCCTGGGTCGGAAGACCCTCCTAGGGCACACCTAGCTTCTTTAAAGTGGGTACCCTTAATTAAATAAGTGATTAAGGGGGAAAACCAGGCAGTTGAGCGTGATCTCGGTCAAATCTACTCCTTGCACAACCTTTGACGTACAAAAAGTGCTTTCCCTAAATAGTACTGAACCCAAGTCACTACAACCCATGTAGTGATATAGGTTTTTTTACTTGTATTATAAATAATTACTTGTACACTATAAACAGATGATTATTTCATCTGTGTAATGAGAACATTGTGTACTTAGTATGTCTATATCTGATAAGGTTTTATTTCACTTTAAGACAGCTACCATATTTTAGTATCGATAAATGTCAAAACGCATGAAAACTATAATGTTTACCTTCATCAAAATATATTGATGTTATTGACATTTTGCAATGAACCGACGATATTATTAAAAGTCATCTATTTCTCGACCATGATGAATTTCATCAATATATTACATTCAGCATTAATGGACAGTTGTTTATGCTGAGTTTAGGAACGACGTGATAGATTCTCGATAGAAGGTTAATGCTCCTAAGAAGGTTACGAAACATATGAAAAAATATATAAGGAAATACCGAATTGTATTTGTCAAAATAGGAATAAATAAAAATAGATAGTAAACTCAAAATAAATGTGTTAAGAAGAAACGAGAGTTTTTAATAATAAACAGTTTTTCTTAATTCATACCTATTATTTATAGCAAACCTACTTGATGGAAAACAAATTATTCATCAGTTCATCTAATGCTCATTACACGGGTCATTACCGGCTTGGGTAGATGCAGAATGTAACAGTAAATAAATAATTATTATTGTTTTTACACCAACAAATAATAATTTCAAAATGTAATGAATAATAATACGCTAAATTGGATGAAAACCTGTATTGTTGTCTGCAATGAATGAAGAGGTCAGATGTATTTAGGGCACCGGAAATTTTCACTACTAATTACAAATTCTATTTTCTGCCTCTGATTATAATTTTATTATCCTGTAAAAAGATCGTGTGTAATACATTTTATTTTTATCTCTACATATAATGGTCCCTGTCTCAACGTCAAAACAATTTCCAATGCCATTTCCGTTTCTCACTTGGAAACTATTATATTTTACTATACATTTTCCTTTAAGGTGTTTATTTACAGTTGACCCCACTCCTTCCCACTGTACACGCTCAACCGCAACGTCGTAAAAAGGTCTTGTATATTTAGCCTTCAGATGAGATCATTTGTGCATCCTATTCACAAGTCTTCATTATAGCTGCATTTGATATCATTTTTCAACTTCATCTCTGTTGTGATGTGGTGGTAAGTTGGATTAATTTTTTACATTTTGTCAGTTGTCTTTCTGAATATTGGTTTATTTCGACGAACTTCCAATTAACTTTCCTTTTAGTTGTTCTTAGTTATTAAAGCAAATTCGGTTGAGGGTCATTTCGTATCAAATCAACCGGAGGCCTGAGCCTGAAGATGTTGGAATTTAAGATTTTGGTTATTTGTTGCATGCATTAATGTAAAGAAAAATACAAAATTCTAGATTTTTTGGACGTACTTTTTATAATTGTTAAATATTTAAAATAATAGAAAAACGCTGCAAATTATTTGACAATGTTTATTATTTCCAAACAATTACACATCTAAAGTAACGTTACCTTCCTAGTTATAAAGAAAAGAAATAAAAGGTGATTCCAATTATTGGACTAAACTTTTTTATCTTGTAAATCCCTTGTTTCTGTACTTTGTAAATTGGCATCACTTTATTCGTCATATGTTAGAATAAAATATAATTTTTAAATAAAAATCGAAAGGGACGCTTTTTCAATTCAAAAATGAAGATTTTTTTTTTTTTTTTTTAAATATTATATTTTTAGAATATAATCATTTAGTACATCAAAATGAAGAGCCTTAACAATTGAAAAATATGATAACTGTTCCCGCTTTTTAGCACAAATTGTTCTTAAGAAATATTCAAAGACGCACCATTTTTCGTTGTTTTTTTTATTTTAAATATTTATATTAAATATTAATATATTAAATATTAAAAACCATTTTAAATTCTAAACAATTTATAATTTTTTATTTGTGTTTACATTAATTCATGCAACAAATAACAAAAAAAAATATCAAAATCCAAGACCTATAGATTCAAAATTGTTTTCAAACTGGTTGGTTTGATATGGAATGATCTTCATGACGAGAGATCTACTATAGAAATCTTGGTTAGAAGAGGTTGCCAATTTCAAAATAGCTGAGGCTGAAATAATACTTATAATACTAGGGATATTCACGTAACTTGTGACAAATGCCTAATGTATTGCGGTAAGAAAATATTGGCATGAATCTTAAGTGAACCATCGCCCCTGCTGAATTGTTAATAGCTGAAGTAACTTTAAACTAAAGCTCCATTTGTGATAACCTGGGCATCATTTGTTGGTTTTAATTTTCAAGGATTTATTTTTTTTTTGTTTATTATTTTCAATAATGAACCATTGCGATGGTTCGCAAATTCAAAAACTTTCCCTCTTTCCCTCAAAATTTGAGGTTGTACATTTCAGGATACGTAGAACTCGAAAATCGAATAAACTATCAAACTATCCGTCGGCCGTCCGCGCATTTTCGTATCACTGGGCCTATTTTTTTCCAAATTTGAAAGTCAGAGGTCATCTGAGGATGATTCTCCTACCTCGATATTACTATCCATCCTCTCCTTCAAGATGGCGGCTAAAAAACTTGTGTTGGTATTGACTGTAGTGCCTAAACGAATGTACCTATTTCAATGAAACTTTGCTAAAGTATTCTCCTCGATGCCCTTTGTATTTTTTTATACAACATACTTCAACGAAATAAGTTGAGAAAATGTAATGTGGAGTGCTAAAATTTGATCTTCTAATTCCACTTAAAATAAGTGTACACTAAATTTCCTAGAATATATATAAAAAAAAATTCTTTGAAATAGAACAATTTGTAGCAGAGGTGTTTTAAATATTTTTCAAATGTCAAATGTTAGTATATAAAAACATAAATCTTTTGTTTTGTTTTAGTATTTTTTTAAAAAGTGTTACATACTTTTTTATGTTTATTCCCCTAGCAAATCACAAATGAAAAAAAATATTTAGTCCTTTATTAAAAAAAGCCCAATAGGCCTGAACATATTAAAAATCACATTTTTTTTTGTTTTGTACAAGGAAAGTATTGTTACTTTTGATGTATACATAATTTTTTTTGGAAATAATAAACCACTACTTGGACCGTGCGAATAATTCACAGGAAATGTTTAGTCAAGGAATAGCTAAGTAATATGGAAATAAGTAGATCCTATGTAATTATTTGAGCGAGGAATTAGTCGTTTTTCCTGGATCGATTTCAATATCCTATTTAACATGATAGACCAAAATATATGCACAGATTGCTTTGCTAGGGCCTGCTTTTAAACGCTGACTGGAAAGGTAACGTTCAAAATAAAGCCTCCATCGTGGGATTTTCTAAATTATTAAATAAATGTAAAATGTACAAACAAGGAAAATGCCTTTAAGAAATAATAAAGTATATATCAGCCAGAAAAGAAAGGGTAAAGAATAGTAAATGCAGTATCTTTAAAGAGGAAGAAATTATTAAGTATACTAAAAGTAATGGACTATATCTTCCTTAATAATCTTCCAAATTTAATGCTTTTTTTTTTGGTAATTTAATAATATTTCTAACTATCATGGGCACAATCCAGAAAAAAACTTTTGAGTTATTCGGAAATAAAGGTTCTTTTTCCTCATAGCTTTTTCCTTACTATGTGGATGTGACTATTTTTCCCACTTGAAGGAGAAGATCTTTAAAATGTGGGCTTACTCTTTGGATTTGATGAAGAGTTGACCTAGGTATGGCGTTGCGACAAAAAAAAAAAAATGAAATACGTTTTAAAAATAATATATAAGATTTTGTAATAATTCAACCGTTTTTATTTGAACATTGTTTAATAGATGAAGTGGGACCACCATAAATTTATAAGAAGATAAAAAATAAAAAAACCGTATACCCTTCGGACTTATTTTTTTTAACACCAGCTCTGACAAACACACCTGTGTTAAAGCAGAGTGTGATAGAGGCCATATTTAACACACTGATCTGAAATAAGTTTCTAGGATTTAACACATTTAAGAAGTTAACAATACTGTCTCTAAAACTTTCTATTCTGCTAGTATTTTTATTTTTATTCTTAGAAATTGAAATTGTTCATTATGAATTTCAACAACCTCAAATTAGACTCGACGGAGTTAATGGATTCTGTTCCATCAATTAATTAATATAAACAGTGACACCGATGGTTATTGATTAGATGGCAATATGTATAGGAAGGTTGATACAATTCATAATGGTTTAGCGGTATGCGTATTTGAGTTAAGTGGGTTTTACCATAATTAGTACCTAATACACTCTGCTTTAGTGGGAACTTATTAGCGATTAATGAAATAATCCATATAAACCTACAGTATTAAATGTCAGTGTTCAGCTTTTGTGGCTAATGAAATGATCCATCGTATACCTTAAAAGTTACACCATCAAACGTGTTAAATTGATATATGGCCATTATGATAATAATTTTATTTTTTACATAAAAAAAAATATTCGTTGCATTAATAGTTAAATTAATGCCTTGAAGAAATACATTAATAAATAATAATAATTTTGACGGAAAATCTTAAGAAAACGGACGATGATAACCACAGAAGTTTTTCGCTCTGTAAACTTAAATAAAATTATAATAAAATGGTAATGTCCAGTGGGCTTGTTGAAAAAAATGTATGAAAAATTTAGATAACAGAAATAAAATTAATTCATTACCAATGAATTTGACAGCTGATCGTGTGAATCTGGATGTCAGAAAAAGGCTTTTTATGATTTTACAACATTCAAATAACGTCATATTTTTTTTTTTTACTTTGTGCTTATCATCCTTATGTATTCTAACTGAGACTGAAAGAACTGATAATCATTTAGGATACCAAAAAGTATATGGAAAGAGAAAATGTATAATAGTCAGAGTGTAAAGTCTTAACAGGACGAATTCATCATTCCTAAATATTTTTTTATATTTATTTTAAAAATTTATTTAAGCATTAAAACATCCTGTGACAGTAAGCAATATAGTTAAAGTGATGAAAAACTTCATTCATACAATATTTCGAAAAATCACCAGTAAATTTTTCTTAAAGCTGGACGTTTTTGTGAAATCTGACAATAGAAAAAAAAATAACACATAAGTTCATTAAAACGACATGAATCCTTTTATATTTTAAAATTTATCAAAATCCTTGGTGATTGAAGGTTATAAAATGTCACTTAATAACTTTTTGCAACTAACCGACTATTTACAAAATTATAAATGTATAAAACAAAAGCAAAATAATAATATTGAAAACAAGAAAGTTCCAACAGGACGAATTCATTATTCCTAAATATATTTTTTTTAAGTTTAGTTGAGCATTAAAACAGTAAGCAAAATAGTTAAAGTGATGAAAAAGTTCATCCATACAATATTTCGAAAAATCACCAGTAAATTTTTGTTAAAGCTGAACGTTTTTGTGAAATTCGACAATAGAAAAAAAAATAACACATAACTTCATTAAAACGACATGAATCCTTTTATATATCAAACATAGTTACAACAAACACACAATTTTCGGATTTTACGAAGGAAAAATTCATCAAAATTCTTGGTGTCTAACCGATTAACTTAACCGACTAAATTAACCGATGATTTACAGAAAATATAAATATATAAAATTAAAATAAAATAATAATATTAAAAACAAGAAATATATACTAAAAATAAAATAAACTTAAAGATAAGCAGATGTGGTCATCTCCCCCAAGGGTGATGACGCCTGCGCCTCTATGCTCTCCTGCTAAGAAATCCTCTATGCGCTCCAGTCCTTAAGATTGTGTAAATAAAAGTAAAATCATGAAAATTGTCGTTTAGTTTGTTCCTTTGTTACTTGCTTTGGAAGTTCCAACTAATTAACATCCCACAAAAATTTATAATCCCATAAATATTTGCTCCCTTCAAAAATGCCAACGCTGTAAAAATGTGTCCCCCTTAAAACTTTTCTTGAGCTACTTGCCCCTCCCTAATTCTTGCTAAAAATAATTAAAGTAAAATAACACTGAAATACCTATTTTCACTATTTACAATCAGCCAAAGGAACTCTGGAACAGGCTTGTCTTTCGATCTGTAGAAAGAAAAAAAGTAGGTTAAAAGAAAACTAAATTCGAATATTACTTTCTCAATTTAAGGTAAACAGTACCGGTATTAGACA